TATATACATGTATATGTATAACTGAATCACTTTGCTGTACACCTAAAACTAACACAACATTGTAAATCAACTATACTTCAATAAAAAATAAAACTAAACTTTAAAAAGTTTTTAACTTTTGAGATGCAGCAAAATCAGTGCTTAGAGAGAAATGTGCGGCCTTAAAATGCATATATTAGAAAAGAAGAAAGATCTAAATCAATAATCTAAGCCTCTATCTGAGGAAACCAGGGTAAAAAGGGAAATTGAAGCCTAACACAAGCAGAAGAAAATCATGAAAGGTAGAGAAGAAAACAACGAAACTGAAAACAGGAAAACATTATAAAAAAAAAAAAAAGAAGAGGAAGAAGAGGAAGAAGAAGGAGAAGCAAGAGAAGAAGGAGGAGAAGAAGAAAAAGAAATAAACCAAAAGCTGATTTTGGGGGGAAAATATAAATGCAGTTGATAGAACTCTGGCCAGGCTAACAAAGAAAAAAGAGGGAAGACAGAAATTACCAACATCAAAAACAAAAGAGGGAACATCTCTATTAATCCCACGGACATTAAAATAATAGTAAAGAATTAATACCTGCAAATGTATCTACAAATTTGATAAAAGACAGAATGGACAAATTCCTTAAAAGACACACGGCCCAAACTCATCCAGGGAGACAGAGCATCTGAATTAGGCCTACATCAATTAAAGAGGTTGAATCAGTAACTCATAGCCCTCCTAAAACGAACGCACAGGCCCAGGGGGAAGCTCCAGCGAAGTCTACCAAACCACTTCAAGTACAATCTCTTCCAGAAGATAGAAGCAGAAGCAGCCCCTCCTAACTCGCCCCGGGGGGTAGGCATCACCCAGCCCTCACCTCTCAGTGCCGTCCTTTGCCTGCCTGGAGGCCACGGGCTGGCTGGGCTTCAAGCTCCTCTGGCTCATCTTCCTGTCTCTCAGGAGCAGTTGGAGGAGGGCAGGCGGGGTGCACCCTCAGCCTTCAGGAGAGAAGGTCCTGGGCACTGAGGACCAGTCAGATGGCGCCGCAGTGGGTAGCAACGCTACTGCCTTCCTAGGGCCTGCCCAGAGCCAGAAATAGCCCCATTTACTTTCAGTTCCTCCAATCAAGTGTTCAGAGACGCTCAGGCTCAGGGCCTCCGGATGTGGGCTTTGACAAAGCTGGTCCCCAGTTACCCAGAAACTAGAAAAAGTTTGACAACAGTTGGGCATTCAGTTTGGATATTAGTTTTTCTAAAGGGACCTTTTCTGGACAGAGTTGTCTTTTGGGGTAGGGATGGGGAAAATGAGGGAGCTCAGGGGGCATGACACATCACCTTGCAGCAAGTGTCAGAGGGACCGGGGAATTCCAACAGTGCCAGCCCAGAGATGTGAGAGGTATGAGTAAATAAGGCAGTGATGTGAGTCATGGGGTCCTGAAATTTCCCCAAAGGCTAATCCACTACAATTTTTAGAAATCGGATTTCCCCATAATTTATTTATTTGTAATCTCATGCTGTTGCATACCAGTAGAATGAAGCTGGGTAGACAGAAACAATGACTGTAGATGCCAGCCCTAGGGGACATACAGGACCCGGACAAGATGCTTGGACTAACCTGCAGTTGAGGTAGCTGCCTCCACTTGTCATCTCCTCAGGCCATGGAACTGGCCAAAGATCACATTTGATTAGGTCTTCACTGCCTCTGTCCTTTCTCGGAGCTCTAACAAGAAAGTCTGCCTTTCAGTCCCTCAGATGTGGCATCTAAAGGGTAAACGGAAAGTGAAGTTGTGGAACAGTGTGACGTGGCTAGAGTCCTCCCTCCGCCCCCCCACCCCTCGTCCCAGCCCGGGAAGGAGGAGCAGGGCCGGCCCCTGCATTCAAGGATAAGAGCAGACCCCTTGTAGGAAAAAAGGACAGAGGGCATTCCAGCGAGGGAGAGAGGGCAGGAAAGTCTCTTGAACTCAAACTGGTTCCGAGGTGAAGTGCCTTAGTGTTGACGGGGAGGAAGAAAATTGCATGTTTCCCCCTGCCCCTTGCCAAGGTGGCTGTGAGAAGGAAAAAGGGAAAGCCAGACTTTTGAGATCTTCCCTTAGGCCCATGGGCTGGACAATTTAGACCCAGTGTTCAGACACAGAACTGGAGAGAGAAAATATTCTTCAAATATCTGGGAAGCAGCCAGAGGCCAGAAAGAACCCTCCCTACTCCTGCAACCAGAAGGAAATAACTAAATTTGGGCAGAGAAGCCTGATGTGCAATTCTAAGTTTTCTTGAATAACGTGGGCACTTTACAAACGCAACTGGAAGTGCTTAGGGAAAAACTGAGCTTCAAATAGTCACTGCAACCTCAAAGAAAGTGACAGGCTTCTCAGCGGATGGGGAAAGGGTTTGAAGCTGAGACTGCCTACACCTTACAGAACAATGTGATGCTAGGTAACAAGTGTGTTACATGTATGTTTGTGCACGATTTTTTCACTTGTACCTGGCTCTCATTCTGTAAAGGATTTGAAGTAACTTAGAAAAACACACTATTTCAGCATAAAGTTGAAAGATGAAGAAATGGGAGCAAAACACAGATAAAATAAATAAACAAAGCAAGAGAACTAGAAATCCAGGCAGGACAATGGGTCAAAGACAGAGGTGAATGGGAGCCAGGGTATCTGTAGAGTCCAGGGTCTCGGTCAGAGCATTGGGCCAAAGCAGGTGAGGACTAGGAAGCCTCAAAGCAGTATGTTCCCAAAGTATGTTCCACTGAATCCCGCTTCTTCTGGCTCATTATAGACGTGCTAGAAAATTTGCATAAATGTTTGCCAAGTATAGAGGGCAAAAGATTTCTACCCCTTTGCCTGCATCTGCTCTTTCTTTCCCCCAAAGAAATGAACATCAATCTGGCTGAGACAGACTCCAGATTCCAGGACACTGGTGAGGACATCTTCTTCAGCGGGCAGGGTCTGTGTGCCTACCGGGTGCTGCACACCACCACCATGGACTGCCTGCCGCGTTCTCTCTCCCCTCACTTTGTGAGGCAAAGAGGCTAGTAAGCTGCGCCTCCGTTGGACATCACTGTCCTGGACACAGTGGCCCAGAGAAGGCCTGGCACAGACTAGACCAGCCTGCTCTGACGTCCCCTCTCTCTCTTCTCACTGACATAAAGCTGCCAGCTTTTTTGCTTATAAGCACAAGGTCTTTTATGTTCCTCAGCTGACTGGTGGTAAGAATAGGACGTAAGGGGTATTCCTGTCGAATTTATAAGAAAATGTTACTTTGCAATACGCTGCATTACCCCAGATAACAATAAGAACTTTAGCTTCTGTTTCCCACTTTTCCTATGTTCGTTAGAGAACCGGTCTCTCTGGAGTAACTTAGGAATGGCTGCACCAAGCCCACTGAGGGCCATCAGATGGTCCCTGGCCTCTAATGGAGGGGTAGAGCTGTCTTCTTTTTCTTCCCTATGACCTGGGGCATAAGAAGATTCTGACCTGCCTCCTTGCTCTGTTCTCCCACCCAGATTCAGGCCAAAGAGGTGATCATCTCCGAAAGCAAGTCAATGCTTTCTTTCCACCTGAAAAATTTCTCTCCATTTTGCTAAGTGTGCTAAAAGCTGATGCTTGGAATAGAGGTATCAGTTGGACAGTCCTGATCACAACCTCATGTTATAAGTTAATTTGCTAGTAACTTGCCAGACTCCACTAACTCATCTCGCCCTTCATCATCATATAATCCAAAGAGATCTGGATCACCTGGATGTCCCATAGACCACTACATGGTCGATTACATTGGTGATATCATGGTGAGCAGACAGGATGGGCAAGAGGTGGCCAGCATGCCTGCTAAAGAAGAATTAATTACTGGCCCTCAACAACAAGGGTAAATCTCAGAATCATTATGATGAGCAAAGAAGCCATCTACCAAAAAGCGCATACTGTGTGTTTCCAATTATGTAAAATTTTAACACAAGATAACAAATCTGTAATCATAGTAAACGTAGATGAGTGGTTGCCCCATGCTGGAGTTGGGGTGGAGACTGCAAAGAGCACAAAGGAAGTTTCTGGGGTGATGGAAATGGTCCGTATCTTAATTGTGGTTGTAATTACATTTGTTAAAACTCATCAAAATGCACGCTTAAAGTGAATGAATTTTATACTTCAACAAAACTGAGCTCTTGCCCACGTAGGTTAGCCTTGGTTTCAAGACTTCTTAGACCCTAAAACTGTGTGTTCCATCTTTTTCCCTGAGAGGTTTACTGGTGCCCTGCTAGGCGGGACCTACGGATCTAAAACACTTGAGAATCTTGATTTAAATAAACCTAAACAGATTTCTACAGTAAAGAATTTCTCACAGACTCTACATGACAGTGCATATTAGAAATCTTTAACAGGATGTAGAGAGAGACATTAGAAATCTTTAACAGGATGTAGCCCCTGGAGTGGCTATTCTGGAGTCTTCTCCTGGCCGAGACGCCGCCCTCTATCTGACTTCCACACACTCCCGGCTTCCAGCTGCCAGCCTGGCTCTGAAACACCTTCCTGCCTGGAGGCCTGCCTACCAGTGCCTGATTTCAGTTTACATTCAGGTTTCCTTTCATTTCAGTTTTCTTAGTAATCATTTTATCCTGACAAAGGATAGGCATTTCGGAGTCACTTTACCTCCCTTCTGTTTGTTTTTTAAGTTTGACGATTTCTAGTAAATTTATTCAGCTGTGTAATCATCACCATTACCACAATCAGGATAACAGCATTTTCATCACCCCAAAAAGTATAGGAGAAGTGATAGAGAAATAGAGGTGGGTAAGGATGCGAACAGACGGTGGATTCCCAGCTCCCGCGGACCCTGGGGCTAGACCCCTGTGCCCCTTCCCCTCTGAACCCACCTCCCCAGGCTGATCCGGATGAGCAGCAGCCCCTCCCCAACCCCCAAAGCCCTGGGGCCTCACAAGCGTCCGAAGGTGGAGGGAGGCTGCGGGCGCGGCAACTCTGCCTTCGGCTCTGCGCGATCTGCTCCAAGTACTTTCACTTTCCTTTTCTCAAAGCCTGGCCCTCGCGCTGCCCCGCGAGGCACAGCGCGGACTTCCTGTTTCGCCCACCAGTCTCTGCCTGCCCGTCTCCCAGTTTTCCAGGACCGAGCCAGCCCCTGGGCCTGGAAAGCGGCAGGAGAACATGGCAGTCTCGGCGTCCAGGTGGGTTTTCGTCTCGGCTGCTTGATTTAGTTTTGGCGACTGACTTTAATGGTTAATGCCCTGGCAGCAGCCGCACGGTGGAACTCAGGCTGAAACTGTGAGGCTCTCTCTTTGTAAAATAATGTTTTCCAAAGAGGTAGAGAGGGTACGTGGGATTTAAAAAGAGAATGTTAAAAAGAAGACGGCTGAGGAAGGGAAACAAACACACAGCTCAGCTCTTCTTCCTCTGAATTCCAGCCTGTTATTGTCGATGCAACTCGAGGTTTGCTTTGCACCCTCCTGTCCTTGCCGCGTGATCTTGCACTCTGCCCTGAATGGGCAACTCATCCATTATTCTTTGTACAAGAGGCTAAAGGTAGTTGGGAAGCTAACAGAAAAGAGAAAATAAGGAAATTTTATTTCCTCCGTTTAATTTTCTCTCTAGTGTATTAACTTTTCAATATGTTTTTTCTTTAAGCACAGTCAGGATTATTTTCTTGAAATAATTTCCCAGAATTGGAACGTGGGTCTCAAAGGAATACATTTTTTTAGGGCATTTGAAACTGATGACTAAGTTAACCTCCAGAATACGTGCATTTGACTTAATTGCCTGTTTATGTCTTTTGCTTTTTTTTCTTACTAGGTGTCTGTCTTTGCTCAGATGAGCTCTACTTTGCCACCGAATACCCTGGGCTAGTTACTTAACCTCTCTGGGCATTGTGTTCAACCTCAGCGATTATAACAGATGAAGAATGAGGAACATGGCGAATGTTCTGTTCTGAATGTTGTAGTATAGTTAGTCATCCAGGACCCCTTCCTCTTCTTAGCATGTGATCATTCTGACTTTTTCTGGCTCTGTGCTGGTCTGTGAAACCCTTGGAACAAAGACTTGGCAGACAGACAGCCCCTAGGAAATAGTAGCTCTATTTAATAACTGCCTTAGGTTCACCAATAGCCCCTTTGGGATTTCAGCGTCATACTGTCAGTCAATTTTAGCCTCTATTGTTGCTGGGTGCCGTCACTACTTCCTATACCCGTGAGTCTTTTCAGCAGGCATAGCTTTGCAGATGACCAAAGGATGCCTTTGGGACCAGAATGCCTGTCTCTAGATGCCTATGCAATGCAGAGAGTGGCTCCCCAAACTCCTCAAAATCTTTGCTTCTGTTTTCTTTTTGTGCCCCTTCCACAGAAGATTCACCATGACCAGGGCCTTAGAAGAGGCTCTTCTCCAACACTTCATATGTCAGAAACTGGAGATCGCTTATGCCATAAACAAGCCATTTCCCTTCCTCGAAGGCCTCCGAGACAACTTGTTCATCACCGAGAGACTGTACAGGGTGAGTCACGTTGACTGCTTTGCCATGGCAGTCCAGCCCCCACCAAGAATGTCCAGTTATTGAGGTCTCAAACCACAACTCCTCACGGCTTCTAGAATTTGGAAGGCCCAACCTAACATGTTCATTATCAGGGAAAGAAGTCGTCCAAGGTAAGTGACCTCAAACCAAATGGCTTAAGACAAAGAAATGGATTCTCTCACAGTTCTGGAGGCCAGAAGTCCAAAATCAAGGTGTTGGCAGGGTTGATTCCTCCTTGAGACTCTGAGGGACAATGCATTCCCCGACTTTCCTCTGTCTCCTGCTGGTGCCAGCAGTCCGTAGTGATCTTGTCTTATAGAAACATCGCTTCACCTGCTGTCTCCATCCATCTCTATGTTGCCTTCTCTTTTTTATGTCTTTTCCCTTTCTCTTTTCTTACAAAGACACTGTCCTTGTGACTTAAGGCCCACCATTATCCAAGATGATCTCATCTAAAAATCTGTAACTTAAATATGTCTGCAAAGACCCTTTTTCCAAATAAGGTCACATTCACAAATTTCAAGTGGACATATCTTTGGGAGGAGGGAGTACCATTCAACCCACCAAGGGCACCATCCCAATTCCTAAGAGCTTGTCACCCACAGTCCTTTCTGATGTAAAGCAAGGCGGGCAGTGGGAGATTGGCTATGTGACAAAAATGGCACCTTTTCATATAATTTTGGTTTCTTAAAGCATTTCCTAAACCCCAGGCCCAGAAAAACGCTAGCAGTAGTAGAACAATCTCCCCCAGTCCTGGCCTGGCTGGATCCAATCCCTTTTCAGATCATAACCCAGCTGTCATTCCTCAGAGAAGTAGGGTCCTTGGCCCACTCATCTAATTAAGACTCCCTCATCATTCTTCCTCATAACAGCCCATGCTTTCCCTTCACAACACTTCTATCAATAGTAGTTGGGTATTTACTTAATTTGTGATTATTATTGAATGCCCATCTTCTCCACCCAACTTTGCCATGTTGGTCTTATCTACTGCTAGGTACCCAAGACTAGCTTACTGAGCCTGGCAGGTGACCAGTAAGTATTTTGCAGTCACTTCTCTCCTGCTGTGTTTCTCCTTTTAGCCATCCTCTCATCAAGAGGATTTCTCTGGATGATTTCCCATTTAGGCCAGTTCAAGTCCAAGAGAGAGGGAAAGAGAGAGCAGAGGCTAACAAGCAATCCACCAAACTGTCACTGTGAAGCCCATTGTTGAAGAGCCCTGCCCGGAGCCTTAGTGAATTAATTACACAGTTGCAGCCTTTGACTCCACTTTCCTTCCTTAAAATTTCTCTCTTCTCTCAAATGTACCTAAAATAAGGTTAACAAAAGGACTTGTTTTCAAGAAGGCTAAATTATTCCTGTGACTAACCATTCAAATATATGTAAAGCTTCAAAAGCAAACATGTGGAACTGAGATTTCTCTGGGTTGGAGAATTTGACTATACATGTTGCATTAAATTCTTTAAGAGGACAAAATCGCTTTCTTGCAGTTTAGAAAACCAGGAATGTATAATAAACCTCCATTCCATTTTGTAGTCATTTATAATAATCTTTCATTTCATTGATTAAGGAATCTCTGGAAGCCTGTGGAAATCTGGTCCCTGTATCCAGAGTAGTGTACAACATTCTAACCAAACTGCAGACCACCTTTAATCTGTCATTTCTGGAGCTGCTGTTCAGCCAAATTAACCTGCGTGAATACCCCAACCTGATGATGACACTTAAGAGCTTTGAAAGAGGTATGAGACTTCTTGAAATCTTTGGGGCTATAGAAGCACGAGAGAAGTTGCTATGCTAGAAGTTTGGGTTGGTTTTATGCCTTTGGGAATATGCACTTTAACTGCCCACTTTCTGTTTGGAAAGGATGGACCCTACTCTCTTACGGGTGTGGCAGGAAAAGTAGTCTCTTGGCCCCGATTCTATAAGATGAATTTGTAGAGTACACAAATGTTTCTGTCTTACTTGTTCCATGAATTTGGGGAAACTGTACAGTTTAGCCTACCAGACAGTTTCTAGGGAAATGCATAAAGTGACAGACACCCAGTCTGGCGGAACGACTTGGATTGCCGGAGAGGAAGAGAAGTGGACAGGAGTGGATAACAATAAGTATCTTTTGTGGGGAGGGTATAGCTCAAGTGGTAGAGCGCATGCTCAGCATGCATAAGGTTCTTGGTTCAATCCCCAGTACCTCCTTCAAGAATAAATAAATAAACCTAATCACCACCCCCACCAAAAAAAAAAAAACTTTTAAAGAAAATTAAATCCTTGGGTACAGAGTCAAACCCAACTTATGAATGAGACCCTTTCAGTGTCAGCTCACAGTTAGAAGCAGTGGTTACAGCACCAAATGCCCAAATCAAATAAAGAAAATCAATAGGGGCTGCAAATGGACAACAGTGATGAGGAATCAGTTCTAGGCACCTGTGAGGGAGTGAATAACTCCATGCCTCCGTCCTATAGAACAGCAAGTTTAAAGAAATCCCCTTCCCCAGAACATTCCGAGGCTCCAGGGCACTGACGCGTGCTCCTTCGTCAACTCCAGTTGTCACTTCCCATGGAGGGCAGAGCAGAATCAGGGAGATTCCCCTCGAAGCATCAGCCAACCCATCAAGAAGGTGCTCCCTGCAGACCCTGTTGCCACTGCTGCCCGCCTGCCAGCACCCCGCACCGAGCTGCCCATCCTGTGCACCCAGTGTCAGTGAGCCCAAGGCACCCGCCCAGCACAGTGCTGAGATCCTGAATGAGCCGCCCAGCCCTGCTGGCCTTGCTGTGTCTCTCTCTGGAGTCATCGAGGAAGGAAGACTCACTCCAGGTGAGAAACAGACCCTGTCCAACACCTGTGCATGCCCAGCCTGGGGCGCTGGTGGCCGTGTCTGGAACCTCCCATCTTTTGGTTGATATGCCCCTTCCTGTGCACCCACTACCATCCACAGCCCTTTCCAAGCAGGATTGTGGGTGCTGCCATGGGCCTAGTGCCCAGAACACCTGCTTCCCACCCTTAGGACAGCCCAGCCTTCTCCCTGGCTCTTGGTACTCTGTCTGCTCCTGGCGCTTTTACCATTTACTCTCCTCCCTGACACCCTGTCCCTGAAACCTGTGATTTTTTGCTTCTTCTCTTCAATGACCAATGATAACTTAACATCCCTAGTAAGCGAAGAAAATTCACAAAACCTGCCCACACTCCCTTGGCCCCATGCAGGGTAATGCTGCTCAGGGCTGACTTGTCCAGCTCAAGGTGGCTGTGAAGGGAGAACACACACCTGCAAACCAAGAGGGCTGTGGCAGGAGCCCCAGGAAAAAGAACTGGGTGTGACAAGGATAAAGAAACAGTGAGGGGACTGATGCGCCGACTTGGCTCAGGACCTCTTGTCAGGGATGCCATCTCAGCCAATTTGATGCTGTGATGTCCAGCAGCCCAGTCAAACCAACACTCAGAACACACGGTTCTGACTTGACAAGTAACTGGTGCAACACACACATCCTCAACCCGACTGATTACAGGAAACTCTCAATTTCAACCATATTCATGTTTCTACAGTTTAGAGTCTACAAGCAACATTTTTGAAATTATTAGAAAAGATGATAAAATGCTGAAAGGTCTACCGAATCTAATTTAGCTTCTAAAATTGTGTCATTCATCTCCCCTAACCATCCATCTAAACTACTTCAATTGTATTAAGTGTAGCTGAGAAATATTATTGGCCACTGTAAAAAGTGGTATCATGGACTCTGATCCAATTCTCCAGTACTGAGAATAAAGGGCCCTCTTGGGTCCAGATGTTTTCTCCACTCATTTAAAAATACCATCCAAGTTAAGTTGACATAACCACGAAGCTGATAACCATGGAAGGGTCCATCTTCTAGATTTTCAGAAGAAATAAGTACCATTATTAAATTAGCAATGAAATGACTGTTCACTCCCCTCCTCTACCCTGTCTTGGGGCCTTGGTGTTCGGTTGGCCCATCAATTTTACTGGTTGGGATAGATTCTTCTTTCTCCTCTTACCTCTGGTCCCTGCTTGTGGGTCTTGGTATCTGAAATTCCTCTTCTTCTTCAGTTCAGTGTCCACTGACATCCTGATCTCCCAAATAAAAGACAAAGAAGACACTCAGGAGATGCCCTGCACCCCCTCAGACCTCGTGCCAGATAATCTTGGACGAGTTAGGCTCACCTTAGCTTTCGCATCTACCAGGTAGAGAAGCCATTCAGATCTTCCAGGCACAGGGCCCTCCTTTTCGCTCTCCATCACTGTCTTGACCCAGGTTCCCTCAACTCACCCCGCCCTCGGGAGCTTGGACAGACCCAAACTCCTGAAGGGAGACAGAGTCCCTGGGGAGGGCGAGGGAGATGGGTCTGGGAAGGGTGGCCTGGGAGGGGGCACCGAGGGCCAGACTCAGGAGCCCCACTAGTACCCTCCACTCCTGGACTCCAAACACCACTAAGGGGTCTGCAAAGGGAGAACGTTCATCAGCCAGGAGGGGTTGTGGCAGGAACCGGGGGCGGGAAAGGTCCAGGGTCTGAGTCGGGGCAGGCCATTCTCTGAGGCCACTTCAGTAAGGTAAAGCTCAAAACTGCTCCTTCAAAGCGAACAAAAACTCTGCATGACCCTAACACTGAATCAGTACCTGAGACGTGAATGGCCCTGTTTCCCAGCCCCGACCCTGACTGTGGGGAATTTCCATGGCCATCCCTCATCATTCTATATCGTTTGGATTTTTAAGGGTAGATATAATTTAAATGACTTGAAAGGCAACAAATGATTTAAAAGGTCTAATGACTGCTTGGCAGCAGCCTCAGTTAGCTAGAACTCAAGATGGATCACCCAGCATGTGTACCCAAGAAGGTGACTGCCTTTTGTGAGATGGGCCTTTATTTGTTATGGCTTCAAATCCTTCAGTCTTTCTTAGTGCAGCAAAGGCTAGCAGAACTTTGTGTATTCTTGCTGTTGACAAATGCTGGCAAGTTCAGGCCAGCTCCTGCTTCCTTCGTCAGTCCTTGTATTCAGAAATACATAAGGCACTTAACCTCCTTTACAACTTCTCAAGATGAAGTGATCACAGATAACAGCAGTTTTAACATCTCCATTCACAGACATCTAAACAGTAGCATAGACTTTTTGTATGGTGAACACATTCACCCTCATTGTGGCCACCAAAATTCAAGGTCACCACTCACCCCGGGCAGCTGAGAGCCCTTGCGCTTCTCTGCCATTAAGTAAGGGCAAGCTCTCTAAACGACTCAAACCGAGCCCTCCTCTGTGGGGCAACTGTTCCCCAGTTCACTGTGATAGTCACACAGGTAGCAATAACCACAAGTTGATCAAACCAAGGCAGAGCCAGGGAACCCTGCGGGCTGGCGGATCCCAGACCTGTGCTACACACGCTCTCCACCCTTCTGGTCCGCCCACTGGTCTCCCTCTAAACTTTCTCTCCAGCCCATTCTGAGCCTGAAATGAATTCTGTTTCTTTTGTCAGTGGCAAGAGATGATTCTTCTGAACCGAGTGAACCAAAGGAGCTCCAAGAGGCAGCCGGGACACCTTCCAACAAGAAAGGTAAGGATTGCCTCCCTCCTGCAGATGTCAGGAGGGTGAATTTGGGAGCTGCTTTCTGGTTTTCTGATCATGTCAGAAGCACCCACTACATGATTACAGTCATAATGCTCAATATTGTTTATTTCTACAATGCCTGTGCACTGCGTCTTCCTTGAAGGCCTTCATGAAAATTACAGGGAAACAAGAAGGCATTTAGAGCCACTGAAATGTGCCTCATTGGAATTGCCTGTTCTGAAAGCATCAAGGTCTCATATACGTACGGCTTCTTGGAGGGTTAGTTGTACCTTCCTCTCTAACTGAAAGTTGGTTCCTTGGGAGGATCTTCTTCCTCTTAAGGCAAGGCTGCCTGTTCTCTGCTACCACTAACCTCATGGCAGAGGGCAGGTTCGATGTCCATCCATTGCTCCCCACTGCCCCACCCAGCTCTTTGCTCACCATCCTCTCGTTTGAGGCTTAACCATTCAAGTGAAGTGCTCACTCTCAATTCATCACCCACTGACTTGCCCGTCACCCCCTGGCAGACCTCAAGGCTGACTTACAGTTTTCCTGTCACTTCAAGCCCTACCACATCTTGGACACTTTCAAGGTACACGTGGCTAACAGGCCCATCCAATCTTTTGACCTCTCAAACCCTTTATCTCCTCCTGTCTATGACTTTTTCACCATCCATTCTTAGCCTCCTGAACCCAAAGGCAAACCACAGGCCTTCTTATCATTTAAAACTGGCTCAACTTCCCAGTAATTAAGGTTTCCTTTTCTTGACACTTGATGCTTGAAGTTTGCTCCTTCTACAGCTATCACTCAACTTCTGATCGCTCCTCCTCAGCCCAGTCTATAAAAATGAATCCAGAAATATCCCTCCCTGATTTCTGCCTTATTTGCAGCTGTCCTTCAGTCTCACTTCAATGCCCAGTCCACTGGTCTTTCCTTTTTCCAATCCACCACCTGCCTTTCTTCTCAACCCTTCTTGCCAGTTCAGAGTCCAACATCCATCTTTCAGTCACTTACTGCTGACATCATGACCTGCCTTGCCTCTGTGTCTTTTCCTAGAACTCTCTGGCAGGTCTTGAAGAAAACTGTTAACTGCTTACTGCACATTGCATCTGAAATCAGGCACTGCTGGGGAGAGGCATATAGCTGACCTTCTATTTCATAGAAAAACATCCTTCACTTCCTACTTCCATCCTGCAAACCCCAACTGCATCTGCCCCCTTCCTCTTTCTCACCAAGGAAATCCTTCCACCTCTTCTGACAACATCCATGATGCCTTCTCTCTTGAGAATTCAGCATCTCCCTCTCTCAAAGATCTGCATTCAGCCAGTGCTCAAGCCTACCACAGCTCAGAAGAGGAACTTTCTCTTGATTCTCATCTCACTTCATAGCTCTCCCCTCCACTTCACAACCAAACTTCCAGAAATGAGTTACCTAAACCTGTTGTCTCCATTTCTTCACACCACTCTCTCCTCTGCCACTTCAGGATTTTAGCATCACCTAAGGTCGCCAATGACCTCCTAGCCACTATGGTTTTGAAGACCAAGAGTAAAAGCTTAAAATTGTTGATATATAAGGTTGGTAGGCCTATGTTTGTAGGTATAAAAGATGATCTGTATCCATTCTTTTTTAGGAAAGAAAAGAAAAAGAAATATCTGGTCAACTCCAAAAAGGAGACGCCAGAAAAAAAGTGTCCCAAGAGGTAAGATGAGAACACAAGAGGAGACCAGAGGCTAAAGACAGCGCATGCTTGTAAGCCAAGGTGTGGGAAGTAGAATTTTATTCTAAATGCAGCAGGGAGCCATTGAAGATGGGCCTCTAATCAGTGAAGTGACATCTCCAATGTTTGTTCTATGTGAAGAATGAGTTGGAAATAGAAAAGAATGGAAATAAGGCAACCATTTGGGGGACAGATGCCATGAGAGTAAATAGTAGCCTGAATTCAGATCTGGCAGGGGAGGTGGAGAGAAGGGGGCCTATTCAAGATCAATTTGGAGGCAGAATTGACAAGACAGTGAATGAATTAGAAGCTGAGAATGAGAGAGAGAAATCAAAGCTTGCCCTTCAATTTCTGGCTTAAATAGCTGGGTAAATGGTGGTCCCATTAATGTGAGAGTATGCAAATGTATTGGAGGGAAATTTTTATGATTCACTTTTTGACCTGTTCATCTCAAGATTTGTGCTAACCATCTGTGCACTCGTATCAGGTATGTGCTTTGTCAAGAGCTGTGAGGCTCTGAGATATTACCTCCACCCCTTGTGGAATGATGTTCTTTATATATATAAATATGAATACTACAGAAACAGAAAGGCACCTGGGTCAGGGGAAAGAATTCTTTATTAATATTCACAACCAGCTCAACAGTACAGCATTTATCCCACATACACACAGACCCAGAGGCATGAGAAGAGAGCTGGTGGATTCTTCCTGTGTGACTGGCAGGTTATATCCCATAGATAAGAGAGAAAGAATGATGAATTTTCTGTTTATCCACAGGACAAGGGCAACATCCTCCTCCCCTCCTGAAAGGAGAGAAAAAATTTTTTTGTTGTTGCTGCTTTGAGATGAGATTGAAAAGATCCTGAGTCCTCACCCCAATTTCAGAAAATGTAAATGCTTCCTTCCAAGAGGCAGAGAAACCCCAGGCACCTCCAGCTTTTACTCAAGAAGTTCCCAAGTTCTGGGCTTCATCCTTTTTGAAACAGAAATACCTAGGGAGAGAGAGTTCCAGTATTCCTGGTACTCTGGGAACCCATCGCTGGCTGTAACCATTTGGCCATGTCAGAAGATGAGAAATTCTATGACCTTTTTAGAAAGCAATTAACCAGGTGCCGATCGCGTTTTCATGGTACATGAAAAGTTAACTGTTTCTGGAGGGGGTGAAAGCAAGCAGTCCCTATCCTTACACTGTATACATGTCCACATCTCAGGAGGGTAGGGCTTTGTATGGAAGAGCTGAGAACTCAAGGAAACCTAATTTCCCCACAGTATGCCAGTTTGGGACTCATTACAAAATATGGCCCAAAGATGTAAATCACATATTTATAATATGTATATATATAATATTAATAATATAAATATTTATAAATATAAAATTCATTTGCAAAAGAAAGGTATCCAGATCCTTGGGAGGAGAGAACCCTAATGCTAATCGTCCCCGCCTTTCCTCACGTCTTGGCGTTGGAAATGCTCTGGGTCTCAGCCTTACCCTTCCCTGCAGGGCCCTGGCTTCTCGACTTTTTGATCCCTTGCACTTTCCCCACTCGAGGCACCCAGGACCCTTGGATCTCTCCTGTCTCCCGCACCACACAGGCCTAGGGAACCTGGAAACGTGCTTTACAAGACTCCTCCCCTGCTGAAACAGACCATCTGGCCGTGTTTACTTGGACGTGGCATCAGGGGGCACAAGCTATGAGTTAGGAAATAAGCCTCACTGCTCTGGGAGTCCCTCAACTCTGTGTGGTTGATTTTAACAGAGTTTGGAGGGGGAAGGGAAGAAAGGTGCACACAGAAAAAAAAACATAATTACAGAGAAATAACAGGAGAAACGTGAGGCACAGGGGATCAGAGATCTCAAAGTGTGGAGACTGGGGGCCTGAGAAAAAAGGTTACTATTAAGGGGAGGAGGAAGGCCACTGGGACCCTACAGAAAACTCTTCACAAATCGCTGTTTGTCCCAGAAGTAGCGTCACCTGGACATGGACTTCAAGAGAGGCTCCCAGAGATGGATCAGGCAACTCAAAGGAAGGTCGACTCAACCAGAAACTCAAAGGTCATGACAAGAGTCCAGGAGACAAGGACCAAATGTGCCCAGACACCTAAACCAGAGGGTCAGGCGCATGACAGAATCTGCCATTTGAATGCTCAGTGTGGGAGGGTCTCTCCGGCAGCCCACACAGCATTAGGTAGAGATGTAACGTCAGTGGTACAAGAGGTGCAGAGAAAGACAGTGAGGTGTGACAGAAAAGAAGAAGCAAGGATCTGTTGCGTATGAGAGGTTTTTGTGCAGAAACAGCTGTATTCACAGGATATAGCTGACCTCAGCTGTGGACGAGGTCAGCAGCACTCAAACACTTTTGCCTCAAGACTCCTTTACAGTACTAAAAATTATTGAAGACCTCAAAGAGTATTGGTTTATGTTGTTTACATACACCTATATGCACTTTATTAGTAATTAAAACTGATAGGTTTAAGATACTTATGTATTAATTCATTTAAAGATAACAATAGCCAATTACCTATTATCATAAATAATATATCTTTATGAAAAATAAATATATTTCCCAAATTAAAAAGTCAGTTGAGTAGGTGGCACCATTTTACATTTTTGTAACTTTAAGGTCTAGCTTAATCAAAGACAGCTGGATTTTTTAAAAAACATTTATTAACTATCTTTTCAATGGGCTTCCTTAATATTTTTGTATATATTAGTATTGTTTTATATTGAAAGCTGAGCAGGAACATTTTTAATAACATCAATTTGTATCCTGTTAACAATTGCTTTCTATTTTTAAAACTACTTTAAATTTCTTCTTTTTTAGTTTAAATATTGTTGATGCACAATATTACATTAATTTCAGATTACTACATAGTGATTTGACATTTGCATATGTCATGAAATGATCACCATGACAAGTCTAGTTACAATCTGTCCCCATACAATTATGGGAGACTATGCTAACCATATTTCTTCTGCTGTATATTATATCCCTGTGGCTTATTTATTTTATAACTGGATATTTGTACCTCTTAAACCCCTTCACCTATTCCCCACCTGTACCCCCACCATCAAGGACAGCTGGATTCTTATCTCTACTGCTGTGTTCAATCAACTGCAATACTTTGCTTTGGTTGAAGCATAAGAAGGAAATCCAGCCTCATCTAGATCTGTAGCTGGAATGGGTGAAGTATTTTAGCAGTCTTTTGAAATATCTGTGGATATTCACTTTGGATACTACACCAAAACTCAACAAGGGGTAGATTCCTTTTGTTTTTTTTTCCTGAGACAACAATAGTTTAATGGATGGGAGATATTACATGTCTGAAGCAAAAGGATCCTGGAGTGACACCCCACCGTGGACGGCAGACAGCAGGCAGGATGCAGCAGTAATCTTCACTCCTTAAAAGTTAATTGTAGAGTCTGAAACCATATCAATGAACTTTTCCTACTCTGTTGCAATAAGATGTCTTACACTAGCTTACATTTGAACAGATCTTCTACTCATGCCAGATTTTTTAATGTCACAAACATTTGGGAAATACTGGGTCACTGAATTTTACAGTGAGCTTACAATTCAATCACACAAGTATTCATCTTGAAACAACTATGTTACTTCGAGATGCAGGCAAACAGCTTTATATATGCTCCCCAATTTTTCACATAGACTATTAAAAAGATGTGTCCTCAGGGGTAGAAATTTAATAAAAATTAATAGTTTTAACTGTTTCATCAAGAGCATTCTTAAATGAAACTGGCTTTTTTTTTCACATTGAATAAGTGGTGGTGAAGAATGCAATGCCTGCTCCTAAGGTTTGAGGATACTGCTTTGATTTGTACTAAGGCACAAGAATTTTTACCTGCCATGACTCTTGCTCCATCTGTGCAGAGGTCAACATAGGCAAAAAGACAAAGAATGTCCTGTTGTGAAAACAGTTTTGACCTTCAAGATCTCCTGAAAAGATTTCCGGGACTCTCCAGGGATTCACAACTTCACTTTGTCTAGTGTAAGACATTTTATTGCAACAGACTATGAAAAGTTTATTGATTCACCTCTGGTCCAGGGGCTCAAATGACTGTCCCCCATTGGACATGTTTGTTAGTAGTGGAACCACTGCAGACCAGCCTTGGCCTGCTCCTCTCCTGAGTGGCAGACTGACCCAGCTGTAGAAGCATTCCCAGGAGGGCGTCATGGAGGCTCAAGCAAGACCTGGAACCTCCAGTCTTCAGTTCCACAGTGTGCCTGGTTGTCTCTGGGTCTCTGGGAGATTTCCCATGGACTTTCCAGAGGACATTTACTGAAATCTGATTCGGATGTTTGGTTTTTTTTCAGAGATCAGTGATGACATTTCAGAAATAGATGAAGGAAAGAGACCCCAGGAACCACCCAGCGGATCACCAAGAATCACGCGCAGTAAAGGTGAGAGATTTCGAGTCTCAGGGTGCAGTCACCAGGAGCCCAAATTTAGAGCTCTTTTACAGTGAGTCAGTTTCTCAGCCATTTTTTTTCATTATCACTACCCAAGGGAGCCCATTTAGACATTTTTTCTGAGCATGGAACCCCACCTCTCAGGATATTTCAATACCACAAGTATATATCCATTTACTTACTGAACATATTTATTTATGCTTTATGCATATAAAGAGCACTTTTTTTCACCCCCAAGAACTGATTTTAGG